AGTTCTGAGCAGCCAAGACACTATCAAGAGATGCACACTTCCTACTGTGGGCTTTGCTTGGACAAAAACATCTCGTGGCAAAATTCTCAAGCGTTATCTTCCAGGTTCACATCAGAGGGTGCACTGTTGGTTGCAAACACCCAACAGTCAATTTAAAGTAGAGATGGCCCAAATTATTTGATCGACTGATTTAATATAAGAGCTGCCACTTTTAAAAATTGTCTATTTGCCATGCCTTGGTATATTTGTCATTTACTGTGTAGGAGGATGAAAATGCAACAGACGTTTCTACAACCAGCTCACATTATTCCATCCATCCTTCCACCCATTATCTTTTACTCGCGTCTTCCTTTTCGGGTCGCGGGGGTCGCTGGTGCCCATGTCCAGCCATTACTGCATGTGTGAGAGGCGGGGTACACCCTGGACAGGTCGCAATTTCATCACTGGACCTCACATTATTCCACATTTGTTTGGTTTTTTTAAGCAATAATTCACAATTGTGTTATATTTTTTTTAAATAGAAATATTTAGTGGCCCGAAAAAATGGTTTATTGTTCTGATTTTTAAAGATTAGCATTGGCTATAGGGAAAAAAACAAAAAAAACGTAAGGACAAGTTTTACTTTAAGGAGTGGTACCACTTATATCAGTTAGATGCACAGAAACAGGAAAGTCTAGCACCTTCTCCTACTAATAATCTGTCACGTAGGTTGTTTTGTCAGTTTTACTGTGATTCCTTGTGACGTTTTTGATCAAACTTATAGCATCTGTGTTGTGTTTTAGTCGTCATGGTCTGTGTGTTTGTGTATTTGTCACCGGGGTGTCCCAAAAATGTGCTACCAGATTTCAGTGAAAATCAGTTGAAATAAATTTAAAAAATAAATTTAATCTGGGATAAGGTTCTGTTGTTCTTTTGAATTAGTGGGACTAGCAGCACCAATGGGTGGAGGCTGCTACCTTCAAACCACTTGCCAGTTCATGCTTTTGTTCTTAAATCCCCCCCCCCCCCCCCCACACACACACACACACACTTCAAAGTGAGC